CCGGACCCCTGAACCTGCGAGCCAGTGATGTGTCAGCAGACAGCCTGCGGGTCAGCTGGGACCACTCTGCCAGTGACGTGGTGCTCTACAAGCTCTCCTGGACGCCGCTCACAGGAGGCAACACCAGGGAGGTGAGTGTACTTAACAAGGGCACCGAGAGGGGAAATGTTATTTTTATAACGGCCGTGTCTTTTTGACGACTGACAGAGCCCCCTTTGAACTTGAGTCTTGCCCAAACAAAACAGAATTATGCGGTGAAAAACGGGGCTTACTTTATGGGACCGGGGAATTATGTTGTCTGTTGCTAATGCGCCCCAGCAACTGTATTTTTCCTTGACATGCACACACGCTTTGTGTGTTTGGACATAGTCAGTTTAAATCCCACGGGTTTTAGTGGAGACTATGTAGGATTTGTTCTGGTGGCGTTAAATGATGGAAATATATCGAGACAGTTGGAACGGTACTATTTTCCGACATGGAGGTGTTTCATATTGCGAGGTAATGTGATCTCTTCAAGTTAATAATGCTAAGTAAACTGATAGATACTATAAACACACACAAGCATGCACACACACACACACACACACACACACTCATACACAAAACCCACATTTGTTCTATGTGAGGTAATTTCATCTTTACAATTAACTAGAAACCGATGACAGTCTTCAATATCGATCTTTTTTGAGTGGCTTGATGTTTTCCGCCATGCATTCGTTATCTGCAATGACTGTTGCGTGGCTACGTGTTGCCTTGTCACTGCAAGATAGTCCTTGATCGATTTCCTTTATGCAGGGAAGTGCTTGTGTTCACAGTCTTGCCATTGTGCATTATTATTTAATTTATAAAGCTTGTGTGCTTTAAATGCCAAAAAAGTAAACAGTCCTTCACAGTAATACAAATACATGAATGAATGAACAAACGAGTGAATGAATAGCGGATGGATGAATCACAGAGTTTTAACACACAGCCAAAGTGTGTTAAAACACTCCTTTACTTTGGGAGCCAACACTCCTTTTCTTTGGGAGCCAAAGTAAAGGAGTAAACCTCCTTGAAAATCATCATCACGGTGCTATGAATTAATAAATGCCATCAGATCATAGGCCAACATCTGTACTCACTCTGTCATGTATTTAGCATAACACGCTTGCTTTGTGTCCCTGTGTGTGTGTGCGTGTGTGTGTGTGTGTGCGTGTGTGTTTTTCTTCCCCGAAGGCGATTTTGAGAGGTGCCGATGACAGCTACGTCCTGACCGCTCTTAACCCCTCCACGGAGTACGAAGTCATGCTAATCGGCGTGTTCAAAGACGAGTCCGAGAGCGACACCGTGGCTGTCACGGCAACCACACGTAAAAAAAGCCATTACACTGTCTCCTCTTAGCTGTGTTTACAACCGTTCTTCACGATGAACACACAGCGAATACCGTTTGTAACGTGTAATTACAACCGCTCTTAACGAGCACACAGTTCTCCCGACAGACGGCTTTTTGGCCATCTTAAGTGCAGTATAACTTCACTGGATTGCTCAAGCTGATGAAGTTATGATTTCCTTTGTGTGACACCGTTGGAGTCACATAATAGATGAGACTCGACCAATAATTGTTCACAACTCTTCGTTCCCAGCGTAGATCTGTTTACGATTATTGAGCAGTGGTTTATAGACACAGTCAGACACAATGTTTATTTTTCTCTTACAGATTAATCATATTGTAGGTATTATTTACTCTTGTCTAAACAAAATGTGTTATCTAAAAATTATTTTAATGTAATAAACTGCTTTTCGTTGCATGTGTATTTCTGCAGTGGCCAAGATAACAACCATCGCTCCTACTACTACTACTACTGCAGGTAAAAAAACATCGTAATTGCTTCCACCACACCTCCCTTTTAAAAAGCAAGTTTAATACGCTGTCACTCTGACTCATTAAATAAATGTTGTCCCTCAGTGGTATTTAAGATGAAGTGTTCCCATAGGTGTCATTTACACATCGGGGACACTGGGCACGCTTTGAGAAAGGTTTATTGGCACGATAAAAACATACAATGCAATGTAAATACAGAAGAAACAAATGCGCATTGTCCCAAAAAAGTAAGTAAGTACGCTAAACCCCCCCCCCCCCCCCCCCCCCCCCCTAGCCTACTGATTCTAAAATTACCTAAAACGTGCCCTTTAGATGCGCCGTTACGCACATTTTTTTCTCTCCGTAATTATAATTATCTTCTCTGACCCGCCGATCCCCCCGTTACTTTGCCTGAAATCGCATATGTTGAAGACCGTTTAGAAAATGTGTTTTTCATCTGAGCCCTTATGTCCCCACCATTTTTCAACACAAAGTGATTCCCTTGAATGTTCCCAATCTGAAACTAAATTGGCCATTACATTTTGACTGGCCAGGTCACGTCCCTTGTTGGAGCTGCTGCAGCATCTGCCTTGAAAGTGTGTGTCTAGTGAGGCGGACCGGCGGTTATCACGCTGATATAACCACACAACAGCCACGACTCACTCCGGCATACGGAATTGGCTATGAGCCTATTCACTTACACAAAATCCTTAAAAGCAATCTCAAAGCAATGTAGAGGTAAACAACGTTAAAGAGCGAACCTACTTTCTGTGCCCGATGCCGGCCTTACCCAGAAACCGTAGCTCCCTCTGTGCTTCATTGTTGCCATGGCAATGCGGTGGCCATCTGGATTCGGTTGGGGGCGGTGAATCCGCAGCGAAGAACCGCCGGTCTCTCCTCGAAACCAACATGTCTCATTTGTTTGACGTTACTACGTGCCGCTGCAATGCGAACGTACAACTTTAAACAAGTGGGGTTTTTTTTTAAACTTTAAATATGACTCCCGAGGTTGCCATCTAAATGATAGTGGGTGGCTTTTGTTTATTTGAACGAGGACTAGAGACACTTAGTACTGAGACCGTCAAACACCCCTTTCCATCTACTTCTAAACAGTTCCCGAAAGCCAAGTGATTCCACGCCTGCCTGCCTTGGGTCTCACAGTTTTAGACGTTGGGTTTGCAGTCTGTACTTTTATGGCTTTTTCATCAAAGTTTCATATAACTCACTTAAAGGTATTGAGCAGCTCTCGGTCGTGTCTCTAATAACGCACAGCCATGGGGGAATTTCTAAATCCTTTCTGAATGTTTATCGACGCCGGTGTGTGTGTGTGTGTGTGCGCGCGTGCCATGCCGTGTTTGTCTGATCTCTCTCTGTAAATCTTCCCAATCTCTTTGATGCAGCGTCCCGTCAGGCGGCGAGAAACCTGCGGCTGGGGGAGAAGACCACCCACAGCATGGTGGCCTCCTGGGAGCTGGAAGACCCCCTGGTGGAGGGATACAGGGTGTCCTACGCCGACAGCGTCGACAGCGCCGACACCGCAGAGTCGGTGAGTGACCTCGAGTAGTAGCTGCTTGAGACGATACGGCTCCAGCTTTAACTCATCACGTATCACCCGACATTTATCTTCACCCATCATCAACGAGCTGGGACACACACACACACACAGACGACACACACACACACAATCTGGACACACACACACACAATCTGGACACACACGCACAATCCGGTCGGCGTTGAAGACTTTTTTCCAGAACAAACGGTACAAACTTTATTTGCTGAGGAAGTACGGTCGCCAGGCGGTGAAGCACTCTGGTCATTGGGTCGCTGCTGCGGCCCTGTGTTATCCAATCAAAGAAATCCATTGCACTTGAGTTCCCTTTTCACTGCCCCCTTCCTTCCCTGACCTCTTTATCTCTGCTAAGAGCTGCGGAGACAATTACTTCTGATTGCCCCTCTCCCTCCCTCCTCCAGGTCCCTCTTTTACAAACACAGAGACAGGCAGGAGCCCCTTTGATACAGAGATTGAACGAACCAACCGACCGAACGAAGCTGCGCGCCGCGCGCCGTATACGTGTATACGTGCGGATGCCTGATAGCGTTACAATGGCGGTTTTCGCGCGAGCCACGTGTTTAAGCGATCAGAAATACGTCGGAGGAGAAATTGGCGAGAAGCAGCGAGCGGTTCGAGGGCAGAAAGGTGCGCGGACGTTAGACGCCGGGACATGTTGTTGTTCTTGGTCGACTCCCGCCGGTCTCTGAAATTAGGAAAGCGGAGGAGAGAGAGAGACCACAAGGGCCCGTGTTCTGGGATAATGTCCTCAACAGTTTTGAGAGTCAAAACTTCGCACTCCTGTCCAGCCATGCCAGTTCACCCCTTTTTTACACAGACGTCGATTTCGGCTTTGTTACTACCTCCGCTGCCGGCTTAAAGGCGGAACAACAATGCCCCCCCGTTGCGTGTTTGTACGTTTTATACAGAAGGTGAGGCGGAAAATAAAGGCGTAACATTCCCGCCTTGAACAGGCGGTGTAATAGGGGCTATAGAGACAGACAGGATCTCTGTCTTACTCTCACCCACATCTCGTGTATCCATTCATAACTCTCTTCTCCTCCTACTCCTCCCTACCTCTCTCTCTCTCTCTCTCTCTGTCTCTCCCTTGTTGTTTTAATTTCCACCAAGCTGGAAAATATTCTGTTATCTTTTCACTTTGTACCACCATTATTAACCAGGCGAGCGGACACCAGCAGGCAAGGCGAAAAAAGAAAAAAAAACAAAGGGGAGGAGAAAATGTCTTAAAATTAAAAAATAGACAAACATACACAGACTGAGACACGTGTATATTATGCATACATATTTTGACTGCTTTATCTTTGCTCACTCGCAAGGTGTTGAGTAAACATCCTTGCGTTATTAGTGTGTGTGTGTGTGTGGTGCACTTTCATCCCGAGTTGGCCTAATAACAGCACCACTCTTCTCCTTTGTGTATAAATATCTTTCCCGTCTTTGTCCAGCGGAGAAACACACTTTTCACCACTCTCTCGCACATGGCAGTACATTCAGTGATCCGTTGAGCTAAAGTTATACATGTGCCATTCGGTGGACACTTTGATCCAACGCGTCTTACAATACCGTGAGTGCATACATTTTTAACATGGGTGGTCCCAGTGGGACTCGAACCCCTAACCCTGGCAACGTGAATGCCATGCTCTACCAGTTTGGGCTATTCAGGACCACGAAGTTCAAAAGTTCAGGTTGATCAAGGGAAAATTGTGAAATGTTCGGATGCTATTACACTTACAACAAGAATATTTCAACAGGGCAGAACAACAAGAGAAAATAAATGTTGCAGACTTGCGTCATCAATTAGGGCTTTGCGAGAGCAGAACAGGAAGAGTGCGTTCTGTGCGTCACAAGAAACTCAATTAGGATTTCAGGTTGCTTGCATACTCAGTTTAGGGGCACACTTTAGGGGGCAGGGTCACAGACTTGGATGACATTGCGTGTGTGTGTGTGTGTGTGTTCTCTAGGTCCATCTTCCAGCTGGAATGAGGAGGGTGGTGCTCCAGCCTCTGGAACCAGACACCTGGTACAAGGTGACCCTCACCCCGCTCTACCCGGACGGACAAGATGGCATCAGCGCCGCTGTTCAGGGAGCCACGTGTAAGACATGCACACACACACACACACACACACACACACACATATCATGCACACACGCACACACACGCACACACATGCACACACATATACACACACATACATTGGCACACACACACATACACATATGCCCGCAGATATATACATACACACACACACACACACACATACATTGGCAAACACACAAACACACACACACAAACGCAATCATAATAGATAAGGAGTTGTGTCTAATAAATATGAGGCTGAATATGCCTGCACGGATGTAATTTGTGGAGCGCATGATGTTAACTTAAAGTCCTTGTTTCATTATGGTAATGAAGGTCATTTGTAATCACACCGGCCCTTCCCGTTATCACAACAGTGAATACACTAATTGATTTTGCTGAAATCTGCTCTGCATTGTTGCCAATGATTAGCAAAAGCCATCAAAACTGAAAGGTGGGTGGAAAGAGGCATCAGGTTTTGTAGTGTTTTTGTACATTTTTTGCTTTTTTCATTTAACCTTTATTTATCTAGGTTGAACACATTGAGATTAAACATCTCTTTTGCAAGCCAATGTTGATAGCCAATGAAACTTTTGTTTCAGACGATGTTAAAACTCCACAGTCACATACTGTAGATCACCATAAAGGTACGAAACATGCCTAAATGGCCTTGCTTACAAAGCGTTTTGAATCGGGATTCGAAAACGGTTGTGAGATGTAATCCGGACCGGTCGTCTACCATTATAAAGCAATGGTGGGCGTCATGTGCAAATTCATCTGGAAGTGAAGTAGCCGGCGATGTAAACTGGTACACCAGGGTCGCCCACTATCCAAACCATGGCTGTGGTACAAACCTGAACGTTTCCTGTATGTGAGTGCGCATATCCAGTGGTGATCTGGATATGCGCTTCAAAAACGGTTGTAGACTTTAGATGTTTCTCTCTGTGGTGGAAACAGGGCCAGTGAGCCGCAGCGTAGCGAACATTTAAAGTTGGAAAAAGTAAACCTCCTAATTGTGATTGCTTTTCCCTCACCAGTACCGCTTTCATCGCCTAGCAACCTGCGCGTGTCAGAGGAGTGGTACAGCCGCTTCAGGGTTACCTGGGATCCGCCCAGCTCTCCTACCACTGGTTACAGGATAGTCTACCAGCCCTTTTCTGGTATGTCACACACACACACACACACACACCAACCACACACACACACACACACACACACACACACACACACCAACCACACACACACACACACACACACACACACACACACACACACACACACACACACAAACACGCACACACACACAGACACACACACACAAATCTGATCTATCTACACAAGTATGTTTATTCATGAATTGTCATTATTAAAGTATACAACAGCCAAATGTAAGTTCTTTAGAGAGAAGATATCATTTCATAAATATTTCTCCATTTCTTTCCCCAGGGAAAAAAATAGTAATTATATTCTATTTAGTTGAACATAAAATGTGTGTTGTCTAACAGGGAAGTGTGAAGGGTCTCTCAGCTCATACAAACACACTCTGGTTCTTGGCAAAGCTCAGTAGTTGAACACCCCCCACACACACACACACACACACACACACACACACACTCGACAAAGAACCACTGAGTGCAACGAATGGTCCTTCCATGACCATTGATGGTCTTAAAAGGCTCTTTGCAGATGAACGGTTCTTATATGGCTATTTGCAATGATCCTCTGGGAAATAACCTCCACGCGACAAAGAACCACGTCCTGGAGATGGTTCTCGAGACCGGAAAACGAGGTTCTTGTTGTTCCCACACATGTTTGAGTCTGTGCTCTTTTTAAGTACAGTACAAACTCACCACATTAGCGACCTCTGGCACATTTACATTGATGTGGAAAGTGAAATGTTAATGAATGTGCACTGTCCCTGGTAAATTACTAAAACAAATAAATGAATAAATAAGTCAATAAAATAAATTAATACCGTAGAGACAGTTAAGTGACACCAGTCCTGGATCCAGTTCTAAATTCAAGTGCCACTTGTGCAGTTGTCGTTGATCTTTGATTTAGATTAAACACACGCCAATTTCGCCCATTACTTACCCTCTCTGCGAGTCAAGGTTTGTGTTTGTATTGTTTCCATGGCTGTGTTCAGTCATGTAAATCCCATTTGCTTGTGGTTCCTAGACTTCCACCAGCGCTTACAGCGATTTAGTCTGGTTACAGGAATTGAGCCGAGGGGGTAAATGTTTTGCAGCGGCGCTACCGTCTCCCCGGGATGAATTACCACGGAAAAAAGGCGCAGTGGGGAGAGAGCGCTGATGAAGAATCAATGTGAAGAACCAAACGCTCACACAAACTCTGAATATGAATCTGTGTTTGATCGTATGCATTTGCCGCAGTTTGGAGACCGCGTGCTCTTTCTCAGATGAGTCCGGTTTGAGTTCCATGTTTTTATACATGCTTCCACGTCAATGAATGAGTCATTCATGGAGTGTGTCAGAAACATAAAGTGCCAGGGATGTATGTAACTTAATATATTTGTAACTCTCTCTCTCTCTCTCTGTCTCTCTACCTCTCTCTACCGCAGCGGCGGGTCCAGCTCTGGATACGGTGGTCGGACAGAACGTCAACTCTGTAGTCATCCCCAATCTGCAGAGTGGGACCGAGTACGGCGTCCAAGTGAGTGCGTCCTTCCCGGGGGGCCACAGCGAACCGCTCCTAGGCACCGCCAAGACATGTAAGTCATGTGACCACCGTCACCCCAGGGGGCGAGGGACACACATTACTGCAAAACAGTTGAAATGTTGTGCTTTGAATTGGTTGTGGAATCAGTAACAATACTTGTGTGTGCAAAAGTAATCTAAAAAGAAATGCTTGCTGCATGCAGGCGGGGCCCACTGTTCTCTAGACCAGGGACCCCACTGTTCTCTAGACCAGGGACCCCACTGTTCTCTAGACCAGGGACCCCACTGTTCTGTAGACCAGGGGCCACACTGTTCTCTAGACCAGGGACCCCACTGTTCTCTAGACCAGGGGCCCCAGTTTTCTCTAGACCAGGGACCCCACTGTTCTCTAGACCAGGGGCCACACTGTTCTCTAGACCAGGGACCCCACTGTTCTCTAGACCAGGGGCCACACTGTTCTCTAGACAAGGGGCCACAGTGTTCTCTAGACCAGGGACCCCACTGTTCTCTAGACCAGGGGCCCACAGTGATCTCTAGACCAGGGACCCACAGTGTTCTCTAGACCAGGGACCCACAGTGTTCTCTAGACCAGGGGCCCACAGTGATCTCTAGACCAGGGACCCACAGTGTTCTCTAGACCAGGGGCCCACAGTATTCTCTAGACCAGGGGCCCACAGTGGTCTCTAGACCAGGAGCCCACAGTGATCTCTAGACCAGGGGCCCACAGTGTTCTCTAGACCAGGGGCCCACAGTGATCTCTAGACCAGGGCCCCACTGTTCTCTAGACCAGGGACCCCACTGTTCTCTAGACCAGGGGCCCCACTGTTCTCTAGACCAGGGACCCCACTGATCTCTAGACCAGGGGCCCCAGTTTTCTCTAGACCAGGGACCCCACTGTTCTCTAGACCAGGGACCCCACTGTTCTCTAGACCAGGGACCCCACTGTTCTCTAGACCAGGGACCCCACTGTTCTATAGACCAGGGGCCACACTGTTCTCTAGACCAGGGACCCCACTGTTCTCTAGACCAGGGGCCCCAGTTTTCTCTAGACCAGGGACCCCACTGTTCTCTAGACCAGGGGCCACACTGTTCTCTAGACCAGGGACCCCACTGTTCTCTAGACCAGGGGCCACACTGTTCTCTAGACAAGGGGCCACAGTGTTCTCTAGACCAGGGACCCCACTGTTCTCTAGACCAGGGGCCCACAGTGATCTCTAGACCAGGGACCCACAGTGTTCTCTAGACCAGGGACCCACAGTGTTCTCTAGACCAGGGGCCCACAGTGATCTCTAGACCAGGGACCCACAGTGTTCTCTAGACCAGGGGCCCACAGTATTCTCTAGACCAGGGGCCCACAGTGGTCTCTAGACCAGGAGCCCACAGTGATCTCTAGACCAGGGGCCCACAGTGTTCTCTAGACCAGGGGCCCACAGTGATCTCTAGACCAGGGCCCCACTGTTCTCTAGACCAGGGACCCCACTGTTCTCTAGACCAGGGGCCCCACTGTTCTCTAGACCAGGGACCCCACTGTTCTCTAGACCAGGGGCCCCAGTTTTCTCTAGACCAGGGACCCCACTGTTCTCTAGACCAGGGACCCCACTGTTCTCTAGACCAGGGACCCCACTGTTCTCTAGACCAGGGACCCCACTGTTCTATAGACCAGGGGCCACACTGTTCTCTAGACCAGGGACCCCACTGTTCTCTAGACCAGGGGCCCCAGTTTTCTCTAGACCAGGGACCCCACTGTTCTCTAGACCAGGGGCCACACTGTTCTCTAGACCAGGGACCCCACTGTTCTCTAGACCAGGGGCCACACTGTTCTCTAGACAAGGGGCCACAGTGTTCTCTAGACCAGGGACCCCACTGTTCTCTAGACCAGGGGCCCACAGTGATCTCTAGACCAGGGACCC